GAGTACTCTATCTGCATGTATGTCTTTAAGCCAGAAGAGGGCATCAGACCTTGCCATAGATGATGTGAGCCACCATGTGGTTGCTGGGAATTGAACTCAGGACCTCTGGAAGTGCAGCCGGTGCTCCTAACCACTGAGTCATGTCTCCAGCCCCTGATCTTTTGTTTACTTATTTTATATCCTGGCTGCAATTTCCCTTCCCTCTAGGCTGTTTCCCTTCCTCAATCCACTCCTCCTACCTCTCTATTAAGTGGCAGGTTTCCCATGGATATCAACAAAACATGGCATATCAAGTTACAGTAAGACTAGTCACCTTCCCATGTGTTGGGGCCGGGCAAGGTGTTCCAGTATGAGTAGCTAGCAACTGAGTCAGAGACAGCCCCTCTTCCCACTGTTAGGAGTTCCACAAGAGGACCAAGCTACACAACTGACATATATACAGAGGGCCTAGGTCAGTCAATGCAGGCTCCTTGGTTGTCAGTTCAGTCTCTTTGAGCCCCTATGAACCCAAGTTATAGTTATTCTGTGGGTTTTCTTGTGTCCGTGACCTCTCTGGTTTCTACAATCTTTTCTTGCCATCTTCAGCAGGATTCCCCAATCTCAGCCTAATGTTTGGCTGTTTGCGTCTGTTTCCCTCAGTTGTTGGATAAAGCCTCTCTGACTACTAGACCAGGCTCTAGTCCATGAGTATAGTGGAATATTGTTAGGCATCATTACATTGACATTGTTTTTCTTCAGTCACATTTGGTCCTATACAAGGTCTCTGTTATTCAGTCTGAGTCCTAATGCCCGAGGCAGTGTAAAGGGCGGGCTTAGTCTCCTAGCAAAGGTTTTATGCTAGATCAGTCATTGGTCGACTATTCCCTCAATCTCTAGGCCACCCTCACCCTTACACTTAACCCAGTACATCCCACAGGCTGGACAGACTGTAGGTTGAAGTTATTCTCACTCCACTTGAAGTTTTGCCTGGTCCTAAGAGAAAGTGTGATACATTTACACAGTGGGGTGTTACTTAGCTGTTAAAAAATAAATGACATCAGGAAATTTGAAAGCAAATGGATGAAACTAGAAAATAGTCCTACGTGAGGTACCCTAGACCCAGAAAGTACATAGTATGACCTCACTTATAAGTGGCTATTAGCTGTAAATAAAGAATGACTATAACCACAGACCCAGAGAGACTAGGTAACAAGGAAGGCTCAAAGAGGGATGGGAAGGAAAAATAGAGATTAATAGAGATTCCGTGAGTGAACCGCAGGTGGATGGTGTTGGGAACATGAGAGATAATCTTGGAGATAGGAGATGGAGGGCAAGAGTACTGAAAGAGACTACTAGATGGGGGCTCATTTCAGAGTTAGCTAGAAACCTGATTCAAGGGATTCTCCCTGAAATCTACAAGGATGACCCCAGCTAAGACTCCTAGCAGTAGAAGATAGCCTGAACTGACCATCTTCTACAGTCCTGATGGAAGCATTTTCTCCATGTAGATTCCCTCCTCTCAAGTAACCTTAGTTTGTGTGGAGGGTGTGGTGGGTGGGGGTGTGTCTCTCCCTCTCTGTGTCTCTGTGTGTCTCTCCCTCTCTGTGTCTCTGTGTGTCTCTCCCTCTCTGTGTCTCTGTGTGTCTCTCCCTCTCTGTGTCTCTGTGTGTCTCTCCCTCTCTGTGTCTCTGTGTGTCTCTCCCTCTCTGTGTCTCTGTGTGTCTCTCCCTCTCTGTGTCTCTGTGTGTCTCTCCCTCTCTGTGTCTCTGTGTGTCTCTCCCTCTCTGTGTCTCTGTGTGTCTCTCCCTCTCTGTGTCTCTGTGTGTCTCTCCCTCTCTGTGTCTCTGTGTGTCTCTCCCTCTCTGTGTCTCTGTGTGTCTCTCCCTCTCTGTGTCTCTGTGTGTCTCTCCCTCTCTGTGTCTCTGTGTGTCTCTCCCTCTCTGTGTCTCTGTGTGTCTCTCCCTCTCTGTGTCTCTGTGTGTCTCTCCCTCTCTGTGTCTCTGTGTGTCTCTCCCTCTCTGTGTCTCTGTGTGTCTCTCCCTCTCTGTGTCTCTGTGTGTCTCTCCCTCTCTGTGTCTCTGTGTGTCTCTCCCTCTCTGTGTCTCTGTGTGTCTCTCCCTCTCTGTGTCTCTGTGTGTCTCTCCCTCTCTGTGTCTCTGTGTGTCTCTCCCTCTCTGTGTCTCTGTGTGTCTCTCCCTCTCTGTGTCTCTGTGTGTCTCTCCCTCTCTGTGTCTCTGTGTGTCTCTGTGTATGTGTGTGCTCGCATATCTCTGCCTTTCTCCTCTCCCTCCCCTTATCTCTCTGTCTCTGTGTGTCTCTGTTCTGTGTGTGTCTGTGTATGTGTGTGTGTGTCACCTGCACATCTGTCTCTCTTTATGCTACTTAGGAAATAAGATGGGATTTGGGGTTGCAAAATCGGCTCCATGGGAGGGGAAAGCAGGGTGTTCCACTAGGATCTACTTTAGACAGAATGGCGAAGACAGTAAGGAGAGGCCATAACAGGTAGTCTAAGATGTATATGAAACTGTAGGATTGGATATAGGAGAGAGGAGGGAGAGTGAAGACCTGATGCTTGACTGCCTGCTTCACTGGCCTACTTGCTTCTTAGCTGGAAGCTTCCCAGGGAATGCCTGCTGGAGTTGTAAGCTACGATAACAGATGAGTGGGGAGGAAGGTTGGAGAAGATCTTCCTGATCCACTGGAGATGAGGCAGGAAAGAAGGGCAGGTTACTGCAGGCAGCCAGATACAGAGCTGGGGATGAGACTGGGGGAATTGGATTTAAAGAGGAATAGGTAAAGACCTGCAGTTAACCTACCTGCTTCTGTCTGGAGGGCAAGGGCTCTTTTATGATAGAATACATGGAATATTTGAGGTCAGTACTGAGCCCACACAGTGGATCTCAGCAAATGTATGCTGGATTAATCTGTATATATAGTTAATTTTCTACTTACACTCTTCCATAGTTGTCGGTCTGTAGTCAAATCAGTTTTCTCCACAAAGCTGAATTCAGACACATTGATGTTATTTTCTTCCTTTTCTGAATTTTGGCTATTTTATTTGGTTCAGCAGAACAATGAAGGATTAAACAAATTCAAGTTACTCCTAAAGGAGAATGTAGATCCCAGGTGCTGCTCAATACCGTAGGTGGCACTGAAGGCCAAGTGGGAGAAACTGGCTTAAATGATGAACAAACACTATCCAAGAGGGCAGGCCTGGAATGTAGCCCTCAAAATCTTTGGCAAGATGAACCTGAGGGATATATGTAAAAAGAGTAAAACAGAGTTCACCTGTGATGCTCAGGCGCTATATGGAAGTAGGCACAGTTTTCTTGGGAACACTGGATCATTTGACAAACACTGAAGAAGCAGAACAGGGTTGAATGCTGTTGCTCTGGCTAGGTCTTAGGAATGATCCATCTATCTTGCATGTACCTACTAAAAGGATCTGAGGAATCGAATGATTCAGAGAATGTACTTGTGTCTAACCTAGAAATCAAGTCAAAAATTTTGAAGCATCTCCGATATGATCAACATATTTGCTGAAAACGAGTAATGGGCTAAAAAGGCAAACTCAAATAAGTACTGTTGGTGGTTCTTATGTGAAATCTGAAATGTAAGACTGTAGGGGTATGTGTGTGTGTGTGTGTGTGTGTGTGTGTGTGTGTATGTATGTACATGTCCTGCACATTATCACCTTTGAACTCCACTTCTATCCCTTGAAGTCAGAACTAGCGAGGGAACTTCATGCCCTGACATTTAGAGCACAGAGAGGACAAGAGGTCCACCCCAGTGTTTGTACCACATCTTCCCCTTGGCTAAGCTGTGACAGCTTAAAGCTCTCTGTTCTAGTTTTACAAAACCCAGATGGTCATAGAGTCACAACACAGATGAATTCTGGCCCCCATTTCAATCACTCCTAAAGCTCTATTTCTTGTAAATCCCATGATGCTCTTGGAACCTGTTGCAGGGACAGCAAAGACAATGAAGCCAGAAGACGTTGAGATGATGGGAGACCAAGTTTCTGAGGAGGAATTGATGCCTGAGGACAAAGCCTTTGGTCAGTTTTTGTATGTTTTTATAGTTTTATGGTGGCAGTGTTAGTCCCTAAGGACCATTATTCACCTGAACAATTTACTTCCAATGTATCACTGTTCTCCATCATTCAAAGTCAATAAAACTGGATTTATGACCAAAGTCAAAATCAAAACCATATTGACTTCAGAACATCAAGAAAACAGTATTTAAAAATGTCTACTCAAAAGTTAGCTATCTCTTCAGCCTCCTAGGCTAAGTAGGTAAGAGTGCTTGTCACCCACACATTCACCCAGAAGACCTGGGTTCAGTTTCTATGTCTGAGAGAAAGGGGAAAGGGTGGGCAGAGAGAAGGGGATGGCTGGGCAGTGACAATCTTAACACTGAAACAGAATTCAAAGTTTTGATCATGTCTCTTTGGTTCTTTTCCATTCTAACTGACTTAGATGATGGAACAAACTACAGAACTGTAATAAAGGAAAAGTTTTATATTACGTGGGATAAAAGCTGTTATTTTGGCCAATCTGCAATTTTAAATCATGGAATTACTCATAGAGACCAAAAGCTGTTGGCGCGTGTGTTTGAGGATGTCGAAACTTGCAGGTACACACAAACAGTAATCCTTCAGGGAGCTGCTGGAGTTGGGAAGACAACATTGTTGAGAAAGGCAATATTAGAATGGGCAGATGGCAATATCTGCCAGCAATATACCTATGTTTTTTATCTCAGTGGAAAAGAAGTTAGCCAATCGAAGGAGAAAAGCTTTGCTGAGTTAATATCCAAGGACTTGCCTAGCTCTGAAGGCCACATTAAACAGATTCTGTCTGAGCCCAGAAATATCCTTTTTATGATTGATAGTTTTGATGAGCTGGACTTCTCCTTTGAAGAGCCAGAGTTTGCACTATGTACAGATTGGACCCAGAAGCACCCAGTGTCCTTTCTCATTAGCAGTTTGCTGAGGAAAGTGATGCTTCCTGAATCATTCTTAGTAGTAACAACAAGATCCACAGCTTGGAAGAGACTGGTGCCTTTGTTGCATAACCCTCGTTGTGTAAAGCTGTCAGGATTGTCTAAGAATGCAAGAATGGATTACATTTACTGTTTGCTCAAAGATAAGACATGGGCTATGGATGCAATCTACTCAATAAGAAAAAATGAGAGGCTTTTCAACATGTGCCATGTTTACCAAGTATGCCAGGTGGTCTGTACTTGTTTAAAGGAGCAAGAGGAGAAAGGTGGTAATGTTGCAGAGACCTGCCAGACCACCACAGCTCTGTTTACAAGCTATATCTGCAGCTTATTTTCACAGGTAGATGAGAGCTGTACTCTGCCCAATGAAACGCTACTGAGGAGCCTGTGCCAGGCAGCTGCTGAAGGCATTTGGACTATGAAATATATACTCTACAAGAAAAATCTCAGAAAGCATGAGTTAACCAGAGATGACATCTCAGTTTTCCTGAATGTAAATGTGCTTCAGGAGGACACAGAGTATAAAAACTGCTATGCGTTCACTCACCTCCATGTTCAGGAGTTTTTTGCAGCTTTGTTCTACTTGTTAAGAGAGAATCCAAAGAACTATCCCATCAAACCTTTTGAAGACTTGAATCGGTTGCTTGATAGCAATAGTTTTCAGGACCCTCATTTGGAACAGATGAAATGCTTTTTGTTTGGTCTACTGAATAAAGACAGAGTACGACAACTGGAGGAAACTTTCAACTTTACAATATCTATGAACATCAAAGGGGAGTTACTTATGTGTTTGGAAGCATTAGAAAAAAATGAGTTCAGTCCATCACAGCTGATACTTCCAGACTTGCTCCACTGTCTATACGAGACTCAAGATAGAGGGTTCATAACTCAGGCACTTAGCTATTTCCCAAAGATTGCTGTGAAGGTTGAGGAAGAAACTCAGTTACTTGTATATTCATTCTGCCTTCAGCATTGCTACTCTCTGAAAACTATTAAACTGACTACAGTGGCAGAGTTAAAAAATCGGTTGGACTTAAACCCCATAGCTGAAACATGGTAAGTGTTCAGTTTACTACCAGGGAAGGAAGTAGATTAGAGAAGGAAATGTTGCTTAACTAAAGTAATTATTTTAAGAAAAATCCATCTAGAAATATCTTGCTGAGGCTAATATACATAGGTAATCTGTCCTATATACCCCTAAACTCTATTTAATGATTTACCCTATCCCTTTTATCAAGTTGGCTTTTCTGATTCTCCCTATGTAAACCTGTGAGGAAGACCTGAATTGTGGAATTTCTATATCTTAAAATTAAGGGCTTATTCTGTTTCATAGTTATATAGTGAGCAAGATGCTTAACATGTTAGCTGGTTTAATTCTGATGCCAGCAGAATTGTGAACTCTTACATAGATTCCAAAACTGTGATATAGAGGTTTTTTCTAGAAAATAAGTAGATAATTATTGATCCAAACATATGTTGAACAATAGCTATTATGCATTGACTGTTGCTCATGCCAATCATTTGATCTCCCACTGGTCCTATGGGGTAAATGCTTCTTTTTCAATTTTACTTATGAAAAAGCTGACTTGTATGACGGTCATAGGCATGACTGAGGTCACCATTAGATTATATATAAGTCCTTGGCTTCCAACTTTTCTGTTGGAAAAACTGTTCTGTTGTCATAATTGGAAAAGAATCCCTCCGTTAAGAGAACATATTTCATCCCTTTATCTCAGTATGGCTTATTATGTGTCTAAGATTTGTATATAGGAACCTCTTGACTATTTTTCACAAATTAAAACCTTAAGTCATAAGCCCCTACTCTGTAGCATTATTCACTACCCTCTCCTTTCCCAAAGTTGGGACTTAAAATTTTCACCATCTTAAAACATGCTAGATAATACCATTAAGTGGCATACCAGCCTCATGCATTTCAATTTCATTACAATACAGAGGGATGAGGAGATAGTTCAGTTGGCAAAGCTTTAAGACTTTAAATGCATTAAAACATTTAAATACCTAAACTCACATTTAAACACACACACACACACACACACACACACACTCCTTTGTAGAGTGACATGCATGTGTAATCACAGTGCTGGGAGAGGGAGAGTCAGTCAGATCCCTGGAATTCACTAGCCAGCCAGCGTAACTTATTTGGCAATTTCCAGGCCAGTCAGAAAGCCTGTCTCAAAGTACCACACATGAGGGACCAACACCTGAGGTTGCTCTCTGACCTCCACATATGAGTGCATACACACACAGAGACATACGCCTTGAGGAAAACAGACACATAAGGTTGGATGTGGTTGATCACACCTTTAATCTCAGCACTCCAGAGGCAGAGGCAGATCTGTTCATTTGAGGTCAGATTGGTCTATGTAGCAAGTTCTAGACTTGACAGGGATATACAGGGAAACCCTGTCTCAAAAGAACAAAAAATAAAAAATAAACATACACACAGATATGTGGATCAGATTTCATCCTGTGGTTCTCCCTCAAAAATGAAGTATCTGTAGTTTTTATTACATATATGTTGAGGAAATAGATGACAATTTGGGGTGGCCAAGAGAAGATGCCTGGTGGACTATCCATAGCAAAAATGCACCTATGTTCTTTCATATCCAATAGCATCTTCCAAGTCAAAGGTGGTTGGTCTTTCCTTTTTCCAATTACACAGCCAAGAGGAAGCTGTTGTTCAAACCATAAAATACTGGCAAGATCTGTTTTCTGTGCTTCATAAAAATGAATACCTGAGAGAAATGGATCTGAACGAAAGCAGACTTAATAAATCATTGATGAAGATCTTAAATGAAGAATTATGTCACCCAAGGTGTAAACTACAAAAACTACTGTAAGTCTTACATGGGGAATTGTTTTGTGTGTGCAGTTTTTCTAGATGGGATTTCCTCCTTGGTAGCCCTTGGCTGTCCTGGAACTCGATCTGTAGACCAGGCTAGCCTCCAACTCAGAAATCCTCCCTGGTCTGTCTCTGAGTGCTGGGATTAAAGGCATGAGCCAACACCTCAGGGTACCTGGGAAATTTTAATGGAGTATTTTTTGTTTGTTTTTTTTATTTGTTTTGGTTTTTCTTTGCTCTGCCTTTCACCCTTATTTGTTAGGGGAAATCAGTAGTAAGTAGAAGCAGTTATCTAACATGCAAAGACTTTCTGGTCAATGAGGGACAATGTTGGTCCTATAACACCCTGTTGCCCAGTGACCCAGATCCATGTTCGTAAGTGTAAAGAGTCTTTCATGTTTGCACAAGGCCAATGTCACAAAATGGTATAAAATAAAGTCTTTTTACATTAAGTGATGTGTGGCTGTACATACCATCCCTGTGCAAAACATTCTAAAGACATGAAAACTGAAATGCCTAAAGATACGGATGCATGATTTCATTTGTTCTGAGAAAGATGGCAATTGTTGTAGAAGGTGTTGGCATGTGGTTTTGAGATTCCATTAGGAATTTTCAAGATGAAGCATGACATAGAACTAACACCTTAAATTTAGGTCACAAAAGTACTTACAAAGACATGACACAGAATTTTTATATTTTCTTTTGAATGGTTTATATTTGATGAAATCAATTATTAAATGTGACAAGTTTAATGGGAATCATAAACATCTTTATAGCCAACACTCAAAATAAGGTAGAGCATTCCAATGACAACTCTCCATCTACACCTTCCTGTTCAGTTCTCCCATGTCTCTAGTCCTAGGCAGTCATTTTCTAATCTAGCTAGTGTTTCACTATAGAAACCATTTAACACACTATGTATTTGTCTGTTTTCAATAAAATGTTATAAAACTTTATTGTGTGTTTGACTAGTTTGTTTACATTGCTGATAGGCACTGTCGTTACCTTGTGTGACTGTTGGAATTTTTAGTTCATTGTCTTGTTAATAAAACTCCCTTGTGGATTCTCCCCCCCCCATTTTTAGTTCATTGTCTTGTTAATAAAACTCCCTTGTGCCCCCCCCCAATTTTTAGTTATTGGGAATGAGGCTGCTGTGAATATTGTTTAGCTGTTTGTGAGATTTTTAACGTCTTTGGTTAAAATGTGAGTTGGCTGGTCCATAGATGTGTCTGCTAAGAATATGCTAAACAGTTTTACAGCACAATTATGCCCACAGTATGTGAATGTTCCACCTGCTCCTCACCTGCACCCATCTTTACTCTTGTCAGTACTAAAAATCTTAATTTGATTCCAGATTCTCTCCACTTAAAATATGCATATTTGCATATCACTTGCTGTTGGCTCCCCTGGGGACTGGAACCATCTGTATGTTCCTCTGTATTTAATGCCTATCATATACTTAATGTCTATTTTCTGGTTAATTGTTTATACTTGGCACCAAACAAATTCTATATCCTTGTTCCTAGAATCAGTAAAATAGATGTTGCATTGGAAACTAACTTCCTGCCAAATATTTTTCCTTAAAAATCTCATTGTTGTGAGTGAGCTCTTACCTCAGATTTTAAGCATTACTTAAACCTGTAGATGAGGAGAGGCCACCAGATGTGTAAGTTCTTTTCACTCATCTCTAAGCATCTCCCTCACATTGTCTTTCCCCAAATGTCACCAGTGCAAATTTTAATAACCAATATTAATAACCAAGGCTACCTTTTGGCTAATGGCTTCTTTTAAAACAAGAGTCCCCTGCAAGGGATGACACCATGGTGACTGTTCTCAGTCTTAGGCTCCTTAATGTTTAAGTCCCTTTTCCCCTGGAAAAAATTACTTCCAACGTATATTTACATAGTGACTTAGGGGAATGTTTATCTCTGTAAATGTAAATGTAAATAAAAGTCTTTCTTGTGGGTTCTTGGGGATAGAAGGAATGGAGGAAGAATGCTGGGTAATGAGCTGAAAAGGAGGGAAATGGTCTGGGGGTGGCTAGTAGTTAGGGTACAGTATGAACAGATTGAATTCAGGGCCAGACCAGGCACTGCAGGAGAATCAAATATTTCAAATACAAATGCAGTTAGAAGGAAGTAAAGAAAAGTTGGAAGATGACCTTTGTATTTGCTCTCTATACTACTTCTGTATACTCACTGAAGCCCACAGGATCACATCACTGTCTGCAACAGTATATGTTCATAATGACATACATCTGATAGTTGATTTTAAATGTGCATTCAGTTTTGATTATGGAAAGGATTTAAGCATTATTCATGTTGTCATTGGAGTATTGGTGGTGACCTTGATAACTGTGGTAGTCATTCCTAAAAGTTCATGAGGCTTCTCTCTACCTTTCCTGATGTTGCCATCCTGTAAGGTTAAAATAATGAGAACACCACCAGTCAGGTAACAGACCCAAACATATGTTGTTTTTCTCAATAGTTCTCTGAATCTGTGTTTTGGCACCTTACCTGCAGTTTGAGAAACTCAGATTCAGATTAAGAGATGACAGTAAGAGTCGGAAGGGCATGATAAAACTGTGGGTGAAGATAATTGTATAACTACTCTGTATATCTTTCTTCTGAAGGTTAGGATCTGTCTGCTTCTTAGATAGCTGTCATGATTTTAGCTTTGTGGGTAAGTGCCTTACCCTGACACATCTCGACCTGAAAGATGCCATCTTAGAAGACAATGGCTTGAAAAGCTTATGCAGTGCCTTGGAATCCAAACAATGTAAATTACTGGTGCTGAGGTAAGCTTGAACTTTCATTATAACTTTTGCCTGCCCACAGACAAAAGGTGAAGTCTGAACTTGGTGTTCATAGTGCTGTATAGTTAATGTAAGCCTACTTTTCCTAGTTTATTTTTCCCCATAAACACTTTTCATTGTATAATTCTGTCTCCCAAATGAAGGGAGGGGACAGGCCAAGAATTGATGAATATTTAACATTTTTCTTTCTTCAGGTCTGGGATATATTGTCTTTGATTAGTGGCAGTAGGAAACAGTGTTAGAGAAAGCTCTGTTGTACTTGATTTTTGACAATGAATCCCTACCGTTTTCAACTGTGGCTCAGAACCAAGCCTAGAAGGCTGAGAAAGAACAGTGTAGCAACTGTCAACTGTCAAGGTGTGCTCTCACTGTCATGTACTGTCCCTCTTATTCGTGGCCCTCAGTTGCTTTATAGGAATAGGAGAGCCTTAGGCATTATACCTGGTCTGTACATTGGATGACAGCTTTTAAGAAAACTCTTATCTAGTGAAAGTCAGTTACATTAGTTTATCACACACAAAATCAGAAAAATAGCTTCTTAAAACTTCTTATAACCCCTGGACAATCTGTAAGTCAAAATTGAACCTTATTGCATGAAGGGCTAAGGTAAGTTGCTTCCCACAAATAGTCTTAAAATCCAGGTACTATAGAAGTAGCAAAGCTTTGGAGTAAGACCTTCTTTTTAAAATAAGAAAGTGAATTCTGTGGCCACTGGGGATTTTCTTTTAGTATTAGCCAGGTTTTAAAAGCTGAAATTCACTTAATGAAGCACATCTCAGGAGTTGATGGTCAATTATTGAACATGGGTTGCAGACAGTTATGAGTGGGTCAGGTTGAGATAGACACAACCAGCAAGCAAGTAGATTTAGGATTAAACCTGTATTATCTGGACATCAAGATGCATGCCACTGGTTCTTGTGTCTTAAAATGAAATATCAACAGCAAAAAAAAACAAAACAAAAAAACAAAAATCAAAACCCTAGTGTTATTTGGTAGGAAAGATGTTCTTACAGTGCTCACTGTAAATCTAAAACAAAAGCTTTGACACTAGAAGCAGCAGGACTTGGTAAGACCCCCCCCCTTTCTGTTGAGATTTGAATGTCTTCTTTTTTTTTAAAATGCAGTGTTGAGTTTATTTTATTTATTTTTTTAAGATTTATTTATTATGTATAGTGTTCTGTCTGTATGTATGCTTACAGACCAAAAATGCAGTGTTGAGTTTATTTATTTTTTTAGATTTATTTATTATGTATAGTGTTCTGTCTGTATGTATGCTTACAGACCAGAAGAGGGCACAAGATCTCATTATAGATGGTTATGAGCCACCATGTGGTTGCTGGAAATTGAACTCAGGACCTCTGGAAGAACAGTCAGTGCTGCTAACCTCTGAGCCATCTCTCCAGCCCCCACGATTTGAATGTCTTCTATTGATGATGCTCAATGTAGAACTAGGTAGTAAGCTTTCAAGTAGGAAACTTTGTGATATGACTTAGAACAGTCACTGCTGGCCCTACTGTCAGAAGTTTTCAGAGTTTGCAATAAGATAGCAGTACTTTATGCAAGTGCAATTGTTCTCCAAATGCAGGTGGACATATGGGTATTACAATCACTAGTTTGTAGGCCTCCTCTAAATAGTTCATATAGGATGGCATCCAACTTCCTATTTTCTTTGGATCTCATTAGATTTGGACAGTATGAATGTCCCTTTCATCTGGTTTGTGCATAGATCATGCTGAGAGGAACTCTTTGGAATTGCATTTTGCTATTTTACTCTGGTTTTGTGATGTGAGTCATTAAAGTGTTGAAAAGCAGTACTTTCCAGTCAATTCTGCTAACTAGGTTCCCTTACTGTAAGAATTTTGCAAATTTAGAGATAAAATATCCTAGAAAAGTTTAAATTGTGGAGGGATATTTCAGATCTTGTACCTGGGCATACTGAAAAGGCACACATTATCAATAATTTTCATGGGAATGTTTCAACATAATTTTACTACAAACCCTGACTTTTGATGAAGGAAACCCAGTGACCAGTTAACAGGTACTACTTGAAGGCTAGGGATGCAGGCCCTTCTTTTAAAAAAATGTAACAACAAAATAAAGGACATGCCTGGAATGCTCTGTCACCCGACACTTACACATGCCTGGGCACACAGCCTTATCTCTGCACAGACCTCTGTGCAGGTATTTAGAGGGACCCCACACATGCACCTTCTATTTCAGAAGCAGTTTTATTTCTGATTGCTTCTTATTCTCATTCTATTTTATAATGCAGTGGTGAGGATAGAACCCATGACTTTGTGCATGCTATACAAGCACTCTGCCAACTGAGCAGTGTCCCTTGTATTCATTCTTAAAAACTAAGTCCTATTCTAACTCTGGAGGTTCACTGAGATGTATAGACCTTGGATCTAACTAACCTCACTGGGTGATATTTCTTTTTATATACAAGTTCTTTTACAGTAAAGTTTTTTATTATTAAGGCCAAATTATTTTCTTTAGAAAATGTGGGCTGACTGGTAAATAAAAACCCATGGGAGACACAGCTCTGGCTCCTGACTTGTGGTTGACCTTTGCTCTACAAATCCATGCACAACATTAAAACACAGCAATCATACTTTTGTCTTCTGAGTTGTAGATGGAGGGAACTCCTCTCTCCTCTTGATGAAAAAAAAAACCATTTAGTAGATTTAGAACTATTTTCATATTTTTTAAGGTCCTAAGGGATGAGAAAGATCATTCCTCTTCATCTCACTTAACACTCTATCAGGGCCGTGTGCTTTAGCTATTAAATATTTTGTTTTATGTAGGAAAGCTGACTTTTCAGCCAAGATCTCTAAAAGTTTACTCAGCCAGAGGCTGGCAGTTTCCCACAAAGGCTGTGATTCTCCAAAATGTGTCGTTTTCCTTTCTCTGTATTGCTTTTCAGGTTGGAATCCTGTGACCTGAGTGTAACCCATTGTTTAAAACTATCAGAGGCCCTCTACAGGAATAGGAGCCTGGTATTTCTCAATCTGTCTACCAATAATCTGACAGATGTTGGGGGGAAGTTGCTGTGTAAGATCATTGAAAACCCCAACTGTCACCTAGAGAGACTGTCGTGAGTCAGTTTGCTTATAATTTATGAACTGGATTGGAATATGTGGGGTAACATTAGCTGGCATGTTTATCAATTCTGAATGATGTTCAGAGTTCTTCCTGTGCTCACTCTTTTTCTGTTTTTTCCTTATAATACCACTAAGCTATATGACCAGATGTCCCTTTTCCATGTTTCTGTCTCTGTACTTCCCTCCCATCCCCCTCATGCACACAAGCGCCCTCTGTCTCTTTGCCTGCCTGTCTGGGCCTCTGTCTCTGTCCCTTCTCTCTTTCCCACCCCCTTTCTCCCCTACTCCCTCTCTTTGTGTGTGTACCTGTGTGTGTTACATGGGGAGGCATTTCAATACTTGTGTTTGCACAGGTACTATGTATATATTCATGTCTGTGTATGTGGAGGCCAATACCTAAGAGGTCACCCCTGGGTATTGTTCCTCGGAGTCATCCACCTTTTTTTTTTTTTTTCAGACACTCTTTCATTGCCCTGGAACTCACTGAATAGGCTAGGCTGGCTGGCTAGCCAGCATAGGCTCCAGGATCTCCCTATCTCCAACCTCCCAGAACTGCGTTTAGAGCCACATTCAGCTTTTTACGTGGTGCTGGTGATCAAACTGGAGATCCTCATGCTTGTGTGGCAAGGACTTACTGAGTTTATTTCTTGAGCTTGGGGGGTGGGGTGGGGAGACTCGGTTTTTAAAATAACTTTCCTATTTTTAATTTTCAAATTCTTCTAGACTTCTCCAGTTTTGTTTCATTCTCTCCTGTAACTAACTACAATGGAATTCACAATTTAAATGTCTGCTGGGGTTGACTCTATAGAAAAAGTGACTGGTATAAGTATCAGATGATTTCCTCATGAAGTAAGGCAAGATGATTGAAAACTGAATTGGTCTTTTTTCATCTGTTTCTCCTTCAGCTTAGCAAACTGTGGCCTCACAAAAGCTGTGTGTGAGGTTCTTTCCTTGGCTCTCTCCAAAAACAAGAGTCTGACACATTTATGCTTGGCAGACAACTTCTTGGAAGATAAGGGGATAGAGATACTCAGCTATGCCTTGAGATCTCCACATTGTACTCTCCAAAGCCTTGTGTGAGTGTCTATGTCACCTTCCCAATACAATGTGGTTTAGAATGAATGCATATACATATGTTTGCATATGCATATACATACACACTATTAAAATAAAATCTTTAGAAACGTAACTTTTAAATGACTTTGAGCACGTGTGCAGGTATTTAGGGCTCTTCATATTCTAGGAATTGAGGGTCCAGTTTCTTCTGGATGTTTTCTATTATAAATGTCATACCTGATTATTATCATACATACTTTATATACTAAATATAATTTTCCTAGCTTGTTGCTTTATTTATAACTTCTTTTATGGTAATCTACAGATTATTAAATTTTGAAATAGTTTTTTTTTTTTAAGATATGCTCTTGAGTCGCTTGGGCTAGTGTTGAACTTGCTATGTAGTCTAGACTAGTATTGAATCTGGCAATTCTCCTGCTTCGGCCTCCCAAGTGCTGGGATTACAGGCATGTACTACATTAACCCAGCATAGATTCATAAATTATTTTGCAAGTCATTCTGCCTTGTGAATCCTAAGATTTTCTTTATCATAACTAGAAATGCCTTTTTTGAAATGTAATTTTACCATCTCATAATTCTGTGACTTTTTAACACATGTCAAAGTATCCTGAAATTAACATTTAATTTTATTGTATGGGTTATACTTCTTTTCCCCATATGTAATGCATGTTATATCAAAAATTATTAATGATACAACACATCTTTTTACTGATTAAAAATGTCACTAGTAAATACCAAGAAAGAATATTTAGCTTGCTCCTATAGTACTCCTCATGCCTGCCTGTCTAGTCCATGTAGCTACTTCTGCAAGAGGTCCTGTATAAATTTTAGGAAAACAATGAGATTGCCATTCATTTATAGTATGAAAAGCTGAGACAGGTGTGGTTCACACATGCAATCCTAGAACTAGGGAAACTGAGTAAGATGATTGAGTTGCACTGCAGTGAGAAGGACAGCCTGTGCTGCAGAGTTGAGACCCTGTTTCCAAAAACTAGGAACAGACATTGGAATTGGCTCTGAAGAACATGAGTCCAATTTACAACAGTTTGATATAGACCTAAGTGACTCACATGGGACAGGTTGGCAATAGTGGTCTGATCTGAGAAGAGTGTTCAGCAGATATGAGACCATCCCTGGGTGTTAGAGACTGACTCTGTGTTTCCTCATACTGTGCTTCCCTGTAGGTTGAGGTGTTGCTATTTCTCTCAGGTTGGTGGTGAGTTTCTCTCCACTGCTCTTCTGGACAACAAGAGTTTGATACATCTGGATCTGGGATCAAACAGTCTTCAGGACAGTGGGCTAAGGTTTCTGTGTCATGTCCTTCAGCAGTCAACCTGCACTCTTCAGGAACTCGAGTAGGTTCTCTGTAACTATATTGTCCTGCACTTGGAAGTGGGAGCTATCTTTGGGTGACAGGGGAGAGATGAATGGGAGAACTTGGTGAGATATGTGTCAGATAAAGAGGATAGACCTGACTTTTCTCTTATTCTGTTGGAGCCACACTAAAGAAGCCTGTTTGGTTGGAACCAAAATGGAAAGCCATAGTTATCCATGGCCCCATGATCCACTTCCCTTGGGTAAAGGGTCCAGAGGCATCAGACTGAGCAGGAGTTGTTTTGATTTTGCCCTAGCAAATCTGTTGGCTATATCCACAAAGCTGAATTTCTACTAGCTTTCCTTTCCAGTTTGTTTTTCAAATGGTATTTAATTTTTTAAATTACCATGTTATTGTTTTATATGTATGGATGTTTTGCCTGCATAAAAGTGTGTGCTTGGTGCTCACAAAAGCCAGAAGATGACTCAGAACCCCCGGGACTGGAGACAGACAGTTGTGAGCCTGCATGCCACTGCTGGTAATTGAATCAAGCCCTCTAGAAAAGCAGCTTGTGCTCTTAACCACTAAGCCATCTTTCCAGCCCTCAGGTTTATATTCAAACTAATTTTCCAGTTAGGTCAGTGTTCAAAGAAGCTGGAAGGGGTGATTTTTTTTTAATTTTTTGAGATTATAATTTATATTTTTTTCTTTTTAATCCTACAATTAACCTTTTAAGGTAAACTTTTAGGGTTCCATACAAAGTAATGGGGTTCTTCTCGATACACATGTGTCATTATACTATTCTCATTTGTTTCCTTGCCCTCATTGACCTCCCTAATGCCTGACCCTTATTCCACTTAGTTTCCTTGCTTCCCCCGGTTAGTCCTTGCCTTCTGCTTCCTATTCCTATATGTCCTGAAATCTCTTAGCTCCCTTTTTATAATGTCCTTTCCAGGTAACTTTTCAGCTAGTTTTTAATTTTAGTTTTTGAGACAGGGTCACTGTGTAGCCAGGCTATCTTAAAAGTAACTGCCTTTTCCTGTCTGTTTCTTGAGCACTTGATACAGGAAGACACCACTTCCTTGTCCTAAAGTCCAGTTTTACAACTAGCCATTTTCATTCCTAAATTCTTTGTGAGCAAATATACACACATATGTGTGGCTTATATACATGTTATGTGATAATGTATAGACAAGAACTGAGGTTTCCTTTCCCTTGGTACTATTCCAGACATCTTTACTTTAAATCATCCTATGGATTACTTCAATGACTTAAGCTTTTAATACTTCCCCATATAATATGAAGTCAAAGTGGAATAAGACCGGAGTGCAGCATTCCCTACCTACTTCCCCACTGGAACTTTTCATCATTGAGTTCTTAGACATATAAACACAGCATTTATTTTTATTTTATGTGTATGGATGTTTTGCCTACATGTATGTCTGTGTACCACATGTATGCCTGGTATCTATGGAAGACAGGGTGTTTGAGCCCTGTAACTGGAGTTACAGATGGCTATGGGCATCCATGTGGGTGCTAGGAAATGAACCTAGGTCCTCTGGAAGAGCAGACAGTGCTCTCAATCACTGAGCCATCTTTCAGCCATAAGCCCAGCATTTTCTTAAACTATTAACTTAAGCTTCTTGACATACACAGAAGTGTTGTCCTAACTGAACTGTGTAATGAAAATTGTTATAGTTTGAAACTGGAATGTTCCCACAAAAGTTTAGATGTTGAAATCTCAGTCATTTGCCAGACGTGCTCTGGGGAAGTGATAGAAAGAAACATTGCCCACGTGGAGTTTGTTGGAGGAAGCAGGTTACTGTGAAGGCTGTCCTTTTCCCCCTCATTACCGTCCCTGTTTCCTAGGGTAATATTCTCTATGTAATATCATAATTCTTAAGACATAGAACCTGCCATACCCTTCTACCATTATGCTTTGCCTCACCTTGAACATTTTAAGTATCTTATTTCAGGTTTTTGGTAACCCCTCTCAAATGAGTTTACTGTAACTTCTGATAAGCACTCACCCCCACATCCTTCAGGACAGGATATACATGTGGGCTACTTTGAATTCCCATGATCTTTTCTCAACTTGATAATGGTTTATTTAATGGATACAATTTCTAAGCCTAATGCCTTTTTATGACTACAAAAACAGAATTTCTAAGAGACCACTATATCCAAGGCCTTTGCTCTGCTGTCTTCTCTCCTTAATACATAGATTCGTGGTTACCTTCATAGCCTCAGGGAAGCCGTTCAGTTCTCTCAGGTATAAGAATTAGGAATTTTTAAAGAAGAGGACTCTAATGCTGAGGGGACTGAAGGTGGCGCTCTTATCCAATGATGTGAAATGCAGATGGCATAAAACAAAGTCTAATGATGAATTTATTCCATGTGTTATGATATCGCAGTGAAGGCAGTAATTTCCTGGAAGAACCTAGTCCAGTCTTGCTGCTGAATAGCTCTTTCCTCCTCTAATGTATTTCCTGTAGGCTGATGGGCTGTGTTCTCACGAGTGAGGGTTGTCTGGATCTGGCTTCTGTTCTTGTAAAAAACTCACACCTGTGGAACCTAGACCTTGGGAACAACAACCTAATGGATGATGGCCTGCATATTCTGTGTGAAGCTTTAAAAACTCCAAACTGCAGAATTAAGAAGCTAGGGTAAGTTCAGTTTTCCATTATAAAAATAAGGTCTGCTTGGTGGTTGAAGATAAAGGTAATTTTATACGTGGGGAATGAAAAGTAAATGGTGGTCGAAAGTAAATAACTCTGAAAAAATAAGGATCTGGGTTTCAAATAGTTGGGCCTGTAGTTTGTATGCCCTTTGCTATATAATCTTCATTTCACCCATTATGTCTTTCTCAGTACCACAGATAGGTAAATATTAAATATTAATCTGATTTGGGTCCTCCATGCTCTGCCATTGTTCAGATATTCCAATTGTTCTTGAATTACTTTTTCATATTAAATTGAGGACTTTTTCCTGTAGAATGCCAAGATCTCAAGGAGCTTGTTGTCTCTCATCCTTTTCTATATGCTTGTGTTCTTTCAGTCTTAGATTGTTCAATATCTTACTCAACTTTGAGATTTGCTAGTTTGCCTTCATCTCTTTGATCACTGAATCAAATATTATGCTTTATGAGCAGGAAACTGAAACACTAGTCACCTAAATCCCAAACACAAATTATGAAGCTTTGGGGTCTTTAATCAACCTTGGGGGACTAGTGAGCTGGCTTAGTGTATATAGATACCTGATGCCAATGACCTGAGTTCAATCCTCAGAACCCAAGTAGGTAAAACAATTCTTGAAAGTTTTCTCTGACCACAATACATGGTCTGAGCACTGTGGCATGCACACACCTCCCCCTATGTGCACATACACAGTAAAAACATGTTTAAAATATGATTGGCAGTAGTATCCAATCTAGTGTTTTTCTATACACGCTCTTTTCTCAAGCAGGATTTAATGATTTTTTTTTCCTCTCATCCCTGTTTGTCAGGGACAACTTGCCTATCAGATTTGCTTTTGCTGGTGGATGGATCTGTGGCTGGGTTTTCTATCCTTCTCCATTAGCTGGTGTGATGTTCTACCTCAGTGGAGCACTGCGATGAACACAACTTTGCAGTGAGCTCTGGTACTACTAGAACAAATCTTCCCATCTTTCTCTTCAAGATAATTTTGGCTCTTATTCTCTCTTGGTACTTGCCAAGTTTTTATATTAGAACCAAATCCTTACGTTTTGGGAGCTAAACCAACTTGGCTGAGATTTCTTTTATATATCTTGTATAATTTATTTTCCTAAAAATACATATTTCAGTATCTCTGCTTATAAAAGATTAGGTTCTAATTTCTTGTGCAGTTCTCATTAACTTGTGTTTACATTATACTAATTTAATAAAATTAGTTCAAAAATATTTATCCCTCTTGTTTCTTGAGAAAAAATTTTGTAAGACTACAATTATTCCTTATTTGATAAAAATTTCTGGTGAAACTAACTTAGGTTATTTTGGTTTTATATCTAAATTTAAAAATGTATGTTTGGGTTTTCAGTAGTGAGTCCTTTTGATATATTTTATCCATCTTGCCTAAATGATGTAACTTATTGACAATTTTTAGTATTTTATCTACTAAAATTCTAAGTCTGTATACTGACCTTTTTTATGAATACTGACAATTTGATCTTTTGTTTCACTTTTTTAAAATAATGTAATATTAATACTTCCTATTTCTTTAATATTTAGCTCATATATTTTCCATAGGCTTATTTTCCCATTAGTTTTTCAAAATTCTTGAGTGGAGTGCTGCTGATATATTTTGCTTTTCTTTACTGTTACATATATGTAAGGCTACAGTTTTTCCCTCAAATTACTGCATTAGCTTTGTCCTGCACAATTACTATGTACACAGTATGGGGGTTTTGTTTTGAGACAGGATCTCACTATGTAGTCTTGGCTGACCTGGAACTCATTATGACCCACCTGCCATGGCCTCCCTAGTGTTGTGATTATAGGAGCGTACCACCAAGCCTGATAATTTTAAAGCTACTGTTAAGCAATGAATTGCTGGTAGCTCTTAGCAAGTACACCTTAAAACAGAAAGCGCTATGATTCCTGTACCTTGTGTTATAATCAGTGTGATTCTCTTTTCCACATGGAATTTGCTTTTAGTGTAATCGCATTAGTGTGGTTTCCATATGAGTAGCAACTTTGAAACAGTTTTATATTCTCAGCACCTATATGAGCATGAAATTATTTCTAAGACTGGGTAAACTGGAGGAGAAAGTGAAATTAAAATTAGTTGATTTGGAGAATATCTTGTGCAGAAGGCTGTGTTTAAGTTATTATGTCAGTTCCTAAATTATTGGCCTGAACAAGTGCTCTTGGTCAGATGGGTGGTTGATTTAATTATGCCTCTTCTGATCTGGAGGCAAGGGAGTGACTTTGAAATGTATGATAAAGAATTATGACTATCCTTACAAAGGTATAATCTCTCTCTCTCTCTCTCTCTCTCTCTCTCTCTCTCTCTCTCTTTCTCTCTCTTTCTCTCCCCCTCTCTCGGGTGTAGGGGAGTGGTGTGTGCAAAGGAGGACAACAGGTGTTCCTCTGTTACTACTCTCTACCTTATTTCCTAGAGAGAGTCTCTCAGAGATAGTCTCTCACTGAAACTGGAGCTAGGCCTAGCAACTAGAGAACAGCCCCAGAAATTCTCCTGTCTCTGCCCCTTGTAGTCCTGGAGTTACATGTCTAGTTTTTAAATGTGAGTTCTGGGGATTAGAAATGGGCTCTCCATGCTTGCATAGCACAAATTATTACCCACCATCCTGCTTGGTGGTGTTTTCATTTGTATATTTTATCAACTTGGCATAAGCTAGAGTTATCTGAAAAGAGAAGAGCCTCAGTAGAGAAAATTGTCTCTATCAGATAAGCCTTGTAGGTAAGTTTGTTGGGTATTTTCACATATATATATATAATTTAATCATATATTGTATACTTTATATACAATATATACATAACTTATGTAATTACATATTATATAATTTATATATACATAATTTATGTAATCTTTATGTGCATTTGTGTTTTGCTTGCATGTATGCCTGTGTGAGGGCATCAGAACTGGAATTACAGACAGTTGTGAGCTGCCATGTGGGTGCTGGGCATTGAACTCCATGAGACCACTGGAAGAGCAGCTAGTGCTCTTAACCACTGAATCTTATTTTCTTGATTAATGATTGTAGCAGGAGTTCTAATTCATCTTAATTAAAAAAACCCCTGAGTCAGATATTGGGGTAAATGCTTAAAGTTCAAGAGATGCAGAGCAGCCAGCCACTAGAGAATTCTTATGGGTTCCACTGCTCAGACCAAAGAGGCAAGCAATCCTGTCCTCAGTCTGCCTCTTCCGACTACATCCTCAGACTGCCTAGAGGGAATGGATTCCACAAAGGTGTTCTCTGATCTCACATGTACCATTGAACATGTGCCTATACACATGCGTATTCGTGCACAAAAAACCCACACAGACACACACAATTGAATTCATCGGTTTTGTAGCATTATGCTAGCGTAATTCCATGGACTTGTGATTCTAAATGTAATTCATATCAGAAAGGGTATGTTTAACACACAAATCTCTAATTATGTAAGTTTCTGTAATCCTTAGATTTACTCTAGCTATATTCATGTGTCTTTTTAATTTTGAAAATTACTTTTCAAGAGTTCACAGATCTCTTAAGTGCTTGTCCTATGTCATGGAATAAAGTCATTTTTCTTTTCTCTTCCCTATAGATTGGAAAATTGTGGTTTCAGCCCTGGTTGCTGTGAGGATCTCTCAAGTCTTTTTTATAATAGCCAAAATTTGTTACAAATAAACTTAATGAGGAACGCACTCGGTTGTGACACAATTAGGAACCTATGTAGAGTCTTGAGGCTTCCAACATGCAAACTTGAATTTCTAGCGTAAGTCTTAAATTGTTTCTCATATGGCATGTGTCATGTGTTGAGGGATTTTTGAGAGCCATTCTTTTATTGATACCCTCAGAATCAACCAGCTGCATTTTGGTAGATTGGTCTGGAACCAGACCACCTCAATTTGAATTCTGGCTCCACCTCTGTAAAGAATTCTCATCTGTGAAATGGGTCAATTGAAAAGAAAAAAATCTGTCCACAGGGTCATTATGAGGATCTGTTAGACTTGGGGCTGACACAGTGCCCAGTATAATAAACAGGAATGTGTTCCCTAATCTCCTCCCTAGAAAAAGGCTCCAAGGAGCCCTTGATAATTGTAATTTTTCTCTTCTATATGCCACTTCACTTTGCTGCATCTCCTTCCCGTATCTCTCATTTCCATTCCCCATCAATGTTAAATTCCCTAGTTTAGCCAAGAAGGGTTTTTGTTTTGTTTGTTTCCTCTCCTGAAGTTCTAGAAGGTGGAAAACAATGTTCATTTTTTTTTCAGGTTGAACAAAAAGGAAATTTGCAATAAGGAACTCAAGAAGTTTCTGAATGATGTAAAAACTAGAAATTCACGACTGAAGATTAGGCCATGCTATTATAAAACAGAAAGTGAGGGCTGGTGGCAGTATTTCTGAAGAACCTTTATGTGCCCTTAAAAATTAAAAAAAAAGTAACTCCAAGTGGTCTTTAACATGTATAAAATACTGGTCTATATCCAGAGATACTAAATTACATTTCCAGTAGGGATGGGTTACACACTTCTCTGTAAAATGTTTGTGTTTCACACAGGGGTGAAAAAATAAAGCAAAACTAACAAAATGCTGTGTCAAATATTTTTATTGGCTATGGAGCTTAAAATTTTTGGAAAAAGCAGGAAAATGAACTTGATTTTTTACTTTTATTTAAATTAGGAACAAGCCTTTTTTACATGTCAATCCCAGTTCCCTCTCCCTCACCTCCTCCCCACCAACACCTTATCCCATCCCCTTTCTGCTCCCCTGGGAGAGTGAGGCCTTCCACGGGGGATTCTCAAAGTCTGTCACATCATTTGGAACAGGACTTAGGCCCTCCCTCTTGTGTCTAGGCTGAGAGAGTATCTCTCTGTGTGGAATGTGTTCCCAAAGTCCATTCATGTACTAGGGATAAAACTGATCCACTACCACTACCAAGAGGCCCCATAGATTAACAAGACCTCCAAACTGACATCCTTGTTCAGGGGGTCTGGAACAGTCCTATGCTGGTTTCCCAGCTATCAGTGTGGGGTCCATGAGCTCCCCCTTGTTCAAGTCAGCTGTTTCTGTAGGTCTCTCCAGCCTGTTCTTAACTATTTTGCTCATCACTCCTCCCTCTCCACAACTGGACTCCAGGAGTTCAGCTCAGTGCCCAGCTGTGGGTGTCTGCTTCTGCTTCCATCAGCTACTGGATGAAGGCTCTAGGATGGCATATAAGGTAATTATCATTATAAGGGAAGGTTGTTTAAGGTAGCCTCTCCACTAATGCTTAGATTGTTAGGTGGGGTCAACCTTGTAGATCTCTGGACATTTCCCTAGTGCCAGATTTCTCTTTAAACCTATAATGGCTCCCTCTATTATGATATCCCTTTTATTGCTCTCCTCTATTCTTTCCCCAACTCAATCTTCTTGCTCCCTCATGTCCTCTTCCCTCCTCTTCTCCCCTTCTTTCTCCTAACTCTCTCCCCCCTCCCCCATGCTCCCAATCTGATCTTGTCCCTTTCCCCCTCTCCAGGGAATCATATTTGTCTCTTTTAGGGTTCTCCCTGTTTCCAAGCCTCGCTGATGGTGTGAATTCCAGGCTGGTAATTCTTGACTCTATGTGTAAAATCCATATATGAGTGATTACATACCTTGTTTGTCTTTTTGTGACTGGGTTACCTCACTCAGGATGGTTTCTTCTAGTTCATCCATTTGCCTGTGAATTTCAAGATTCCATTGTTTTCTGCTGAGTAGTACTCCACTGTGTAAATGTACCACATTTTCTCTATCCATTCAGTTGAGGGACATCTAGGTTGCTTCCAGGTTCTGGCTATCACAAATAATGCTATGAGCATAGTTGAACAGATGTCCTTGTTGTATGAATGGGGACAAGAGATGCAGAAAGAACTACCACAAGACAGGATTCTGCTCAAGTGGCAAGCTTTACTTTTCTCAGGCTAGCTTATAGTCGGGATACAGGGAGGGGCAGAATGGGTTGTTTGTGCACCAGGTGTTAGTATAGGCAGGATATTAGGAAGCCACAAAGAGGATGTTTGGCAGGGGAAAGAGTTCATGAATAAGAGGTCCAGGAAGGGTTGCTTAGGTGACTGAGCCTGTGGGTAGAGGACTGGGTCAGGTTGTTTCTTGAGCTGAGATTCTAAGGAGCTGCTATGTAAAGGTTAACTACGTGGCCTGCCAAGCATGGCCTAGGATCTCATGCCAAGCCCTGAGATTTTGCTCCCAACAGGCAGTGACCTGGAGACAGGAGCTGATGCAGAGGCCAAGGAGGGGTTTTCTTTACTGACTTGGCTCAACATGGCTTGCTCAGCCTGCTTTCTTATAGAACCAGGGACCACCAAGGATGGCACCACCTACAATGCACTGGACTTTCCCCCATCAATCACTAAGAAAATGCCCAATAGGCTTGCCCATAGCCAGACCTTATGGAGGCATTTTCTCAACTGAGGTTTCCTCCTTTCAGATGGTGGGGAGAAGGGGAGGGGAGGATTTGACATAAAACTACCAGAACAGCACTAGAGAAGATTCTCAAGCCTTAATTTCCCTCCACAGTCCTGGTTTAGTTCATAGCTGTACTCTAGCTTGTCCTATTAGAATAGCATCCAAATGTGTGCTGAGTACTGCTAATGTCTAAGTCACTTGTATCTATCTTTAAATGTAGGTTTCTAAACTCCATACTAGACTCAATGAAAAAGAATATTGGAGTGAGGCTCCATAGGTGTGAGCATCTTAGGTAACTTTTCAGTAGTTGAGTATAACTAGTTTCAGTAGATGTGGGGAATGCAATTCTGTAGTGAGTACTCTGTAACCTCCTGTTACAAAAAGGAGGCTTAATTTTTTAATTTTTTTATTAGTTCAAATTAGGAACAAGCTTGCTTCACATGTCAATCCCTTCTCCCTCTTCCTCCCCTCTCCCTGCCCTCACCCCCCACCTACCCTCCAACCCATTCATCCTCCACTCCCCAGGCAGGGTAGGGCCCTCAATAGGGGCTCCCCAAAGTCCACCACATCATCCCGGGCCTAGGCCCTCCCCCATGTGTCCAGGGCGAGAAAGCATCCCTTCACGTGGGATGAACTCTCAAAGTCCCTTCTTACACCAGTAGGAAAACTACTACCAGGAAAATCCACTACCAGGGACCACCTAGAGTACGGAGAAGGAGGCTTAATTTTAAGAGGACATCAGGCTTTTGAGGTTAAAACTAAAGATTCATTTGATAAAATGATACAATAGTTACCTGTCAAAGATTTTTAGGGTTATTTAATAAAGCTGTAGAACAAGGGCTGGGTGTTGGTGGCGCACACCTTTAATCCCAGCACTCAGGAGGCAGAGGCAGGCGGATCTCTGAATTCCAGGCCAGCCTGGCCTACAGAGCGAGTTCCAGGACAGCCTCCAAAACAATACAGAGTAACCCTGGCTGTAGAACAAACCACCCAAAACTGTATGGAGCAAAGAAAAAAAAAAAAAAGCCAACTATTTAGTGATTGGAGCCAGGGGGGGTGATCCACTCCTTTAACTCTAAACAGTTCCTTGTGTGGCTCTCTGGGTTCAATTTCAACCTAGTCTGAATGAGTTCCAGGCCAGCAAGAGTTTATTGATCCAGATGGGTGGTGATGCATGCCTTTAATCTCTGCATTTGGGAGGCAGAGCCAGGTGGATCTGAGTTCAAGGCCTGTCTGGTCTACAGGATGGCCAGCACTGTTACACAGAGAAATTCAGTCTCGGGGAAAATTGCTTGATGAGACACTGTCTTAATAAAATAACTCATGACCTGGCAGATGAGAATTCAGGAAGGGCTCAGCCAAGCATTGAGTGGGAAAGCGCTGGAGGCCATTTGGCAAGGATGGCTGGAAACTGGATCTGAGAGTACTGCAAGGCCTCTGTGTCTGCAAATTAGAGCCATTTAAGCTGCACCCAGCGAGCCCTGTCAAAGTTGAGCCTGGGGGATATTAGGGACTAACTACTAGCCGGTAGGACATGCGGAGAGCCTTCCTCCTGGAGGGCGGGGCGGGGGCGGCGCTTCGGCGTGAGGGGCGGGGCTGAGGAGCCCGCGACTTGAGGGGTGAGGCCTGTGGAGAAGCACACAAGTCTTTAAGAAACAGCAGCTCTTGCCTATGGGAAACACAGCAAGCATGCAGGGGGAGGAGAGAGAGACAGTGGCTAGTGGGTTTTCTGAGTGCAACTTTGAGTCTCCCGACTCAGAAGAAGCGCTTGGAAAGCGTAGAGATGTCCCTAAGGAGCAAGTGGCCCCAACTGGGTTTCAATTGCCAGAGAGCAGGACCCTGGACAGCGCTCGCAGTTTTGTTTTTTGTTTTTTTTTTCCCCTCAGGAGTTTTCAAGGGCAACTTGCCACTTAAAACAGTCTGAAGCCACCTTCCTAGAGACAGGCAGGCTTGACTCCTCAAAAGGAGACGTGTGTTGTTCGCCGACATAACACAAATGTATATGAACTAGGGAAACATTAAAAGAGTTTGCATTAGTGCTTAGTAGTTAAATGTATTAATGTAAAATGGAGTTGACAGAGGTTGAGGGTCCGAAGTTAATTGACAGATTTTCATTTTGCAAGGTAGAGTTCTCAAAAAGTACACATACACACAATGTGGAAGCACTTAACCTTACTGGACTTTATACCTAAAATGGATAAGAAGGTAAATAGGGTTGTAGGCATTTTACAACTTCAAAAATTAAGTTTTAAACATAGGAAGGTCTGTTCTCTTCGGTGTCAGTGAATTTGGGTGCAGAAAGGGCCACACTGCTCACATGTCTAGATGGTTGGGCTAGAGCTCAGTCCCAGAAGGAACTGGAAGCATGGAGTTCTGTCTGGGGCTTTCAACCCAGGAATAACTCTTCAGGTTATTCTGTGTGTCCTCAAATTTTTCCGGCCAGGACACAGCCTTCTACAGAGGTTCCCACACACACACTTTTTTTTTTCTATTTTGGGGGGGATGATGATTACTTTTTCTTGAGTAATGCTGAAATGTTACCTTTGTTCTTTGATAGTGAGTACATTTCTTTCCTCACCTTGGGGCTTCTGAACCCTCAAGTTTACTAGAGTTTCCTCTTAGGATGCTGGGGCCAATGTGGCTGGTGAGAGAATCTGTACCAACTCCAGTTCACAGGTTCACACTTGACCCTGCGGGTGGTCCCAGAAGCAGATGGCTTCATCCTTTCTGGTTTCTGGTACAGTTAAATAAAGACAATATCACTTGCTCCAACCCTCTCAGGATGTTAGGATACTACAGCTTTTCTACATCCTAGAACCTATAAGAATAATGTTAGAATCTAGCCTCTGCTTAACAGCAGCTCTCCCCATCTCGTAGATACCAACAGGCACCCCACTAGTACACTGCAGACAGATTTCTCACCTTGGAAGAGAGTTAACATCAAAGAGTACTGATGTTAAGGT